AGGGTCGTAGCTTAGACTATTCCACAATGCAGCAATCAAGTGTATGATGTAGTGGAGTGGTTTAGACCGTTGTACAAATGTTGAGTCTGAGAACTCAGGGATAAGTCAGAGGTTAGCACCTCACTGACTTTTCAGAAACAAGGAGTAACAAGATCAATGCTTGGAAGCTTGGAAAAGATGTGGAAGTATGTGATAGTCGATTTACTGTATTGTCTGCTTGCCCTTTCTTAAGGAAAGGGCAATCCTATTTATGATAAAGGAGTGTAGTTCTCTCATTTTCCAAGATTTCCATGACTAACCAGGCTTGGTAACTGTAGTCGACGTAAGAGAATCCCATAGAACCATCTCCTAGGTTCCTAGCCTATAGGAAGTGAAAGGAGGTTCAAGGTCAGAGTACCCCTATAGACAAATTATGTCATAACTTAACCAATCTTGTGGGTAACTAAGGAGCGATGACGTGTAATGAATCATAGAGGGTTGTAGAAGCTTTTGGAGCTATCGTTCATGTTCCTAGGCCTCTAGTTGATAGATATATGTCATGTGTAGTATTAGCCCAGTAACTAAGGAGTGATGTCATGTAATGAATCATAGAGGGTTGTAGAGATATGCTATGTGGTTATATCGGCCCAGTAACTAAGGAGCAATGACGTGTAATGAATCATAGAGGGTTGTAGCAATCGTTGAGTAGTATTGCTCTTGTTGTTGGTGTGACAAGCCAAAATATGTATAGTGACTTGTAGATTTGAGGAGGAGATTTCTAAGTTTGCTCTTGAGTTTGATAGCAAACTGAGTGCAACAAATGTCAGTATGACAAGAAGGATAAAAGCCAAATATCTCTAGTGTTCTGCACCAATGCTACAGGTAATGACCGATTACCTGTTTGGATAATTGGCAAGGCAAAGAACCCTCGAGCTTTTTGATGCATCAATGTTACGACAATGGGAGGAGAATGGAGGTGGAACAAGAAGGCTTGGATGAATACAGTGATTATGAGTGAGTGGCTTCAAGCCTTCTATCAACACATTGGGAGGACTCGAGAGATTCTATTAACAATGGACAACTTCTCTGCTCATTACACTGCCCTAGAGTTATCACCACCGCCCTCAAATATTCGAATCTGCTGGCTTCCAGCCAATTCGACAAGTCGATTTCAACCCCTTGATCAAGGCATTATACAGAGTTTCAAAGGCTACTATCGATGGCAGTGGCTCTCTTTCATGCTTCAATGCTTTGAATCAAATCAAGACCCAATGAAGTCGATGAATCTACATCTTGCAGTTCGCTGGACTGTTCGGAGTTGGAATCACCACATAACAAACACAACTAGCTATAACTGCTTTCGGAAATCAACACTCCTTAGCAACCCAATATCTCTTCCTACATTAATAACTCCACCAAATCTATCAGAGCTATATGCACAGGTGGCACAAGCTGGCAATATCCAGGATTCTATGGCAATATCTAACTTTCTTAACCCGGTTGAAGAGTCTATAGTAGAGGATGAAGGAGCATTAAATCATGATGAGATTCTGCAAGAGATTATATCAGAACATCTTGAAGTTCCTGAAGAAGAAGAAGAAGAAGAAGAAGAGGTACTACAGCCACTAGTACCTACCATTCAGGCGGCTAGGAATGCCTTGAATATTCTTATTGAGTTTGCGGAAAGTAGTGGAGATATCAAAACAGGTCATCTACGGGCTATTGAGAGTCTTGACCAGGAATTAGAGGCTTTGGATCAGAATGGGCGCATGCAAAGGACACTAGATAATTGGCTTACATAAGTGTGTATAAAACGATAACGTGGTTTATCAGTACCCGGTTAATATCAGTACCCGGTTAACTTTTCGCGTTTTCTCTACCCCCTAGCTTCAATACGCGTTATTTCAATAATAAAGTATGTCTGTTCATACTCAAGAAGCTAGAATCATCTTAGCTATTGAGGCTATTCGTACGACTAAAAATCTTACTCGTCTTCATGCAGCAAAGATCTATGACGTACCTTATTCTACACTTACCGGTAGAATGAACGGTCGTACGGATATTCGTGAGCGACGACCAGCTGTCCAAAAATTGACCGAACTTGAAGAGGAAGTAATTAGTCAACATATAATTGACTTAGATTCAAGAGGATTTGCACCCTGGTTGGCTGGTGTTGAAGATATGGCCAACTATCTCCTCGAAACGCGTCAGGGAAAGCGTGTTGGGAAGCTCTGGGCGCATCGATTTGTACGACGATGCCCAGAACTAAAGATGCGTTTTAATCGTGTTTATGACTTCCAAAGGGCCTTATTGTCATACTGACATTTGTTGCACTCAGTTTGCTATCAAACTCAAGAGCAAACTTAGAAATCTCCTCCTCAAACCTACAAGTCACTATACATATTTTGGCTTATCACACCAACAACAAGAGCAATACTACTCAACGATTGCTACAACCATCTATGATTCATTACACGTCATCGCTCCTTAGTTACTGGGCCGATATTACCACATAGCATATCTCTACAACCATCTATGATTCATTACATGACATCACTCATACTACCACATGACATATCTCTACCAACTAGAGGCCTAGGAGCATGAACGATAGCTCTAAAAGCTCCTACGAACCTCTATGATTCATTACATGTCATCGCTCTTTAGTTACCCACAAGATTGGTTAATTTATGACATAATTTGTCTATGACATAATTTGTCTATAGGGGTACTCTGACCTTGGACCTCCTTTTACTTCCTATAGGCTACGAACCTAAGAGATGGTTCTATGGGATTCTCTTACGTCAACTACAGTTACCAAGCCTGTTAAGTCATGGAAAGTCTTGGAAAATGAGAGAACTACATTCCTTTAGCATAAATAGGATTGCCCTTTCCTTAAGAAAGGGCAAGCAGACAATACAGTAAATCGACTATCACATACTTCCACGTCTTTTCCAAGCTTCCAAGCATTCATCTTGTTACTCCTTGTTTCTGAAAAGTCAGTGAGGTGTTAACCTCTGACTTACCCCTGAGTTCCCAGACTCAACATTTGTTGCAACTTGTCTGAACCACTTCACTACATCACACACCTGATTGCTGCGTTGTGGAATAGTCTAAGCTACAACCCTTTGGCTCTGTTTCCTAAGACAGTGTGTTGTCTTAGTAAATTCATCCCTTCCTTGGGTGGCTAGATTCTCACATCTGGTGCACCCACCATTACACTTATGCGAAGATCCTGTGCTTATTGGAGGGTGGTTTGAGCTCGTATGAAACATGAGAGCTAAATATGGGGTGTTGGATTGTGATTTCTACAACTTCGACGAGAGAGGGTTTATGATGGGCATGATCTGTCCTGGAATGGTAGTTACGCGCTCCGATCGACGTGGCCGAGGCAAGGCAGTTCAGCCTGGCAATCGTGAATGGGCTACAGCAATCGTGTGCATTAATGGTGAGGGCAGAAGTGTGCCTCCATTTCTTGTCGTACAAGGGGTTAATCACCTTGCACATTGGTATACTGAAGGTGGCTTACCACACGGCTGGGCTATCAAACCAACAAGCAATGGATGGACCGACAATGAGACGGGTCTTGAGTGGTTAAAGCACTTCGACAAGCACACTGCTCGTACGGCAAAGGGCCCTTATCGAATGTTGGTTCTTGATGGACACGAGAGTCATGATTCAGCTGCATTTCAAGCATATTGCAAGACCAACAACATTATACCCCTTTGTTTACCCGCTCATTCCTCTCACTTAACGCAGCCACTTGATGTCGGGTGCTTTAGTGTATTAAAACGGTCGTACGGTCTTCAAATTGAGCACTTTATTAAGGCTCATATTAATCATATCAGCAAGGTTGAGTTCTTTATCGCGTTCAAGGCAGCGTACGAGCAGTCACTTTCAGTCCAAAATGGTCAGGCTGGATTCCGCGGAGCTGGATTAATACCGTTTAATCCTCAAGTGGTATTATCAAAGCTTGATGTCAAGTTACGGACTCCAACGCCTACTAGATCCCCCTCTGCCGACACCGACCCTTGGATTTCTCAGACGCCTCATAACCCAACCGATGCTCTTTTGCAAACAACTTTGGTAAAGAATCGTATTGCACGTCATCAGGGAAGCTCGCCAACCCCTATTTTTGAAACAGTTGCGGCGTTGGCAAAGGGTACAGAGCTGTTAGCCCATGAATTGACTTTAGTACACGCTGAAGTCCGTACTCTTCGCAAGGCAAATGAAGCACTTAGCAAACGCCGTAGAGCTAAAAAGACACGTATTCGTCAAGGGGGTGTACTTACTGTCGAGGATGCGCACGGTATTCTAAGTCAAACTGAGGTAGACGAGCAGATTCGACGTGATAGGCGTTTAGGAGGGGGTGTTCAAGGCAAAGGGAATCCGACCGTACGACGCTGTGGCACTTGTGGAGAGACTGGTCATAATTCAAGAACGTGTCAAGGTACTATTACTATATAACCTTTAGTAGATCTGCAATTAGTTTAGTTAAATTTACTTCGTTGTTGTTATTTAATATTAATTCTTCGTACGAAGGTAGGAAAAAGTTAACCGGGTACTGATATTAACCGGGTACTGATAAACCACGTTATATGCTTTAAGACGATATGAAAATGGTGGCTCGAATCCATCGTCTTAACGGTGTTTGACTGTATAATAGAGTTGGATAAGTTGATAATTAAAGGTCAGAAGGTCAATATTGCGAATATCGAGAATTGAGTGCGAAAATCAATTGGTGCTGAAAAAAATATCGACTTAGCGGTGTTATCGACTAATCCGACATCGTCTTGGCGAGAGTGGACTGTATAATTGTCTCTTGTTGTGTTTTGTCACCGTCTAGCCCCATATAGATTCGCCAAACTCCGACAACAGGAAAATTAGTCAGCGCACGTGATTTGACGACCACTACAGCCAAAATGGGAAGCTATCAAACACCCTCGATATAAAGCTCTACTATGCCACTTCCTACGCGCCCATTGCCATTGTAGCCTGTAGATCTGGTTTAGTGATGTATAATGTTACGGGCCGAGAACAATGCACCGCGTGAAAACCAAAACATTCCCGAAAGACCTCACGAATTAGCCTCCATAGCACCAACGGTTAGAGACGATGAAGTCAGAACGGCAGAACCACGTGGGAGAAAGCAAAAGAGCGTTGCTTCCCAAAATAACCACTCCGATGGCGCCTTATATGATGTTTCAGAAGGGCTCGCAAACTTGAACGAAGTTGACGCGCCCTCACCTGACGAGAATCCACATGAGCAGCTCCAATACCGGAGATCTTTCCTGGAGACCATTCGGCCACAGCAAAAGGAATATCAACGGGATCAAAGGCGTCGACGACTGTCAGCCGTAGGCAAAGGCCAGGAAAGCCCCTCGGGAGAGCCAAAAGAAGCCGTTCCAGGCCATGAACGTGCTTCGAGGGTTGCCACTGAGATATATATACTGTCATATCTGATACTCTTTTCCATCCTTGGTACGCTTGCCCGAGTAGGTCTCGATGCCTTAACAAGGTACCCAGGCGCCCCGGTTGGCATCAGCGTCCTCTGGGCCAATTTCGGTGGGAGTCTGCTCATGGGTTATTTCAGCGAAGATAGGAGGCTTTTCATGGACAGTGATAAAAGCCAGAATGGTACTACACCAGAAGAAGCAAGGTTCGAGAATGCGAGCAGTCCGGAAATTGGTCGTGGAGGATCCGGAGGAGCCGTCGCCAACGACCCCGACCCAGAAGCCGTGAGGATTGCTGCTAGGAAGGTGCACCTCACCTTCAAGAAGACGATACCGCTATATATCGGTCTCACGACCGGTTTCTGCGGCTCATTTACTTCGTTCTCTAGCTTCATTCGAGATGATTTCCTTGCGCTTTCGAATAGCTCCCCAACAATCATATCCGCAAGCGGGTCTTCGTTCGTCATTCCCCGAAACGGTGGATTCAGTTTTATGGCACTACTCGCTGTCAATATCCTCACTCTCTGCATCTGCATTGCAGCGCTGAAGTTTGGAGCTCATCTCGCAATCGCACTCCATTACATCGCTCCGTCTATCCCAGTTCGTCTTATTCGGAGGATTTTCGACCGTATGACAGTCATTGTCGCGTTGGGCGTTTGGCTCGGAGCAATCTTTATGGTTATCTGGCCCCCCGATCGACCATCTGGGCCCGCCGCAAATGGACGGACAACATGGGCTCAGGAGACTTGGCGAGGAAGAGTCTTGTTCTCCCTTATCTTTGCTCCGCTGGGCTGTATCGCCCGTTTCTACGCGTCGGTGAAGCTGAATGGACTGAAGCCATCATTCCCCGTAGGCACTTTCGTGGTCAACATATTTGGAACTATCATCTTGGGAATGGCATGGGACTTGCAGCATGCTCCTCTGGGTACTTTGGGTGGCCGAATAGGAGGCGGATTGACCGGGTGTCAGGTTCTGCAGGGTGTCATGGATGGGTTCTGTGGCTGCTTGACCACTGTGAGTACGTGGGTTCTTGAGCTGACGAGTTTGAGGAGAAGACACGCATATACCTACGGTGTCGCGAGTGTGGGCGTTGCTTTGGGGTTTATGACGATTATCATAGGGAGCTTTCGGTGGACGAAAGGATTCGCTGATCCGGTATGCACATCGTAGAAGACGCAGAGGAAGACATGGCACTGTCGGAAGTATTTTCGCGATTGGATGTGGTTAGAGACACTTGGTGCTGTAATATAGCCTGTAAGTTTATATAAGTTAATGATCAAAGATTTGATAACTTCACCTTCCTTGCCATGATAATTGTCATCTAGCCCAAGCTGAGGAATCTACTGGAAATGGGAGCAGGAGTGGGAGTAGGGGTGAAGAAAGTAACGATATAGCAGAACCCTAATATAAGAATGTGCTTGGGACCGGGATATGAATAAGAATACGTAAGGTATTCTTATATTAGGGTACACATGATTGTATTATGTCTATGTACCTAGTTACCCTGCCTTTGAAAGTAGTTTTGAATAGTTGTCTATTATGTAGTCGTGCCTAACTTGTGCCATCTCACAGCTGACACAATCAAGGGCATGGATATGTCCAACTTATCTACGCCCTCTTGCTATAGCTTCTATAATCTAACTGTATCTAAACATCGTAGAGCTTCTATTATAGTGATTTTTTCCTGCTTAACATCACCATCTCCACTTCCCCTTTGCTTGCTACTTAACGACTGTATGTAACGCTAACTTCTAAACAATAGAAGACATAGAGATTTCTTACATAAGGTTGACTTAACAGAGGAGGCAGGGGGCTAGGCTCTAGTAACATGACCTAAGAGGTCACGTATAATGCTGACTTCTTAAACGATAGAAGACATAGAGGTTTCTTGCGTAAGGTTGACTTGACAGAGGAGGCAGGGTATTAAACACAAAGGCTTTCCAAGTAACACGTTATAGTATTGTAAAGAATACTATATTAAGTTGAGCCCAAAGCTCCTATCTAAGGGAATACTATCTACTTATATAGTACCATTGTGCCTTATGTAATGGTGGCTGCACCAGATGTGAGAATCTAGCCACCCAAGGAAGGGATGATTTTTCTAAGACAACACACTGTCTTAGGAAAAAGAGCCAAAGGGTCGTAGCTTAGACTATTCCACAACGCAGCAATCAGGTGTATGATATAGTGGAGTGGTTTAGACAAGTTGTAACAAATGTTGAGTCTGAGAACTCAGGGATAAGTCAGAGGTTAGCACCTCACTGACTTTTCAGAAACAAGGAGTAACAAGATCAATGCTTGGAAGCTTGGAAAAGACATGGAAGTATGTGATAGTTGATTTACTGTATTGTCTGCTTGCCCTTTCTTAAGGAAAGGGCAATCCTATTTATGCTAAAGGAGTGTAGTTCTCTCATTTTCCAAGACTTTCCATAACTAACCAGGCTTGGTAACTGTAGTCGACATAAGAGAATCCCATAGAACCATCTCCTAGGTTCCTAGCCTATAGGAAGTGAAAGGAGGTTCAAGGTCAGAGTACCCCTATAGACAGATTATGTCATAACTTAACCAATTTTGTGGGTAACTAAGGAGCGATGACGTGTAATGAATCATAGAGGGTTGTAGAGCTTTTGGAGCTATCGTTCATGTTCCTAGGCCTCTAGTTGATAGAGATATGTCATGTGTAGTATTAGCCCAGTAACTAAGGAGTGATGTCATGTAATGAATCATAGATGGTTGTAGAGATATGCTATGTGGTCATATCGGCCCAGTAACTAAGGAGCAATGACGTGTAATGAATCATAGAGGGTTGTAGCAATCGTTGAGTAGTATTGCTCTTGTTGTTGGTGTGACAAGCCAAAATATGTATAGTGACTTGTAGATTTGAGGAGGAGATTTCTAAGTTTGCTCTTGAGTTTGATAGCAAACTGAGTGCAACGAATGTCAGTATGACATTGAGGAGGAGATTTCTAAGTTTGCTCTTGAGTTTGATAGCAAACTGAGTGCAACAAGTGTCAGTATGACATATGCGTAAGATGAGACGGAAACACATGTAAGTGTATATTGTGTTGATGTGCAAGTATTATAAACTCTGGAACTTCATGTGAGACATGAGAGTCCATTATTAACAATTTCGTTCTTATAGACTGTGTATGTTGAATAAAATGCTGTAGATATTCCATTGCAAGCTCAGAGTTTGTATATCCGGAATTGGATACTGCAACTTTCTCATTACCGTGTAGATTGTCATGGTACCAACTTTCCATGTGTAATTTTCCTTGTATAATAAGGAACTGTGGAAGTGCAATGCTAGCAGCTGAAATTGTCTCTATAACTGTAAGACTTTGTCTGTTCTCTGGAGCTTGTATATAAAGCTATAAATATTAGAATAATATAAAGTAAGATAAGTAGAAACAACTTACCTCCTTTACTGTAGATGGTACCAACACATTTTCACCAGTGCTCATTCCTACATGGAATCCAACTTCATCAAAGTTGTAGATATCACCCGCAGTAATATCTCATAAAACCATTCTTTAATAGCTGATACTTCATGAGATGCAACCCGTGCTGCTTCAATTAGCCGGGTTTTTATTGTATAAGTTGTGTTGTTGTGTCTTAATCCATGTCGGAACCACCGTATAGCTGTAACTTGTACATCAGACAGCACTCTGTTCTGGCCTCCGCGTGGCACAGCGGTGCGTTGTGGTGAGCGTGTCATTTCGTAGTCGTATAGTCCGGAGTGTACTTGGGTTTACTCTGTACATCCGTGCTACTTACTGTAGCACTCTTCTCTGTTGGGTTTTCATTTAAAAATTCAATGGCATTTAAAAGAGCTTCATTTTTATTTATTTCAACTACCGGAGAACCAACGATTATAGGAGGCCTTCGTTAAGCAGAACCAGCCTAACGTATAATGCGCCCTGCCCCCCCCATCACACCCCCACCACCAAAATGCGCATCGGCTGTCTCCAATTCGCAGCCCAGCTCGGCGAAGTCAAGCCCAACATCGCCCTCGCCGACAGCATCCTCACCCTTTCCGCACCCCCTAACCTCGACCTCCTCGTCCTCCCCGAACTCGCCTTCACAGGCTATAACTTCAAGTCCCTCCACGCCATCGCGCCCTTCCTCGAGCCCACGACCTCCGGGCCCAGCGCGGAATGGGCGCGCCAGACGGCACGGAGGCTCAATTGCACTGTTGTTGTCGGATACCCCGAATCTGTCGATGTGAGCGCGGAATGGCCGGCGTCGCCGGAATACTATAATGCTGCGGTGGCAGTGTCGTCCTCGGGTGCAACGCTCGCGAATTACCGCAAATCGTTCCTGTATTATACTGATGAGACGTGGGCGCTAGAAGGGCCGGATGGATTCTTCCATGGGGAGTTTGAAAGGCTGGGTGATGTGGCGATGGGGATTTGTATGGACCTCAACCCGTATAAATTCGAGGCCGCGTGGAACGCCTGGGAATTCGCGTATCACATCATCCATGTCGAGGCAAGGGTGGCGATTGTATCGATGGCGTGGCTAACGCGCGAAGAGGCGGGGCCGTATGGAGAGCATCCCAAGGAGCCGGATATGGAGACTCTTGCCTACTGGGTGGCGAGGCTGGAGCCGCTGGTGAGGAGGGAGCAGGAGGGCGAGATCATTGTGGTGCTAGCGAATCGGGTGGGCGTGGAGGGCGATGCGGTGTATGCGGGCACGAGCACGGTGCTGGGGATTGAGGGGGGAGAGGTGAAGTTGTATGGGGTGTTGGGGAGAGGGGTGGAGGATCTGTTGGTCGTGGATACCGAGAAGGGGCCGTTGGGGAAGCTGGTTAGTGCGGCGGCGGCGGCGGCGCAGACGGAGAGCGACGTGTCGAGGAGTGGGGAGAGTGTGGGGAGCCCGTTGGGTTCGGGGCAGGATGAGAGGGATAAGAGCTCGTCGGCGGAGACGTCAGTTTCGCCTGGGAAGTCTGTGTCGCCCCATTGATACCGTGGAGGCATACGAGTGGTCTAAAATTGGGTTTCAACGGTTTTGAGCGGAGGAGTCGGGTGTTTTGTAGCGATTATGCTGCATGTGAGCGTTTTTGTGTGCACGGTTATGATAGATGAAGAGACGACCAAAAACCTAAATGCAACAATGATAAATGAAATCCGATGCTTCTGGCTCGTTTAAGGCGCCGTGAATGCTCAACTTGCAGATTAACGGCCAGGAAAGCAGTTACCAATAGAAGAGAGATGGGGTCGCCCCCTTTTTTTTCGAATTAGCTTTCTTGCAAGGCCATCTATCTGGTCCGTCGGATCGAGAATTTACCTTTCTCGTTCGCCCGGCGACGACAGCAGAGCACGCGGTGACAAGAAGATACCGACGGCAAGAGAGCTTCGACAGCAACACAGAGTTGACGGTGAGAGAAAACACAACGTCTTCAAAGTCTGACAGGAGCGCAGAGTTATCGGCCTTGATATGAACCTTGGATCCACGCACCAGCAAGAGCTTCACGTTCCGTCGTATGCCACTGACAGTGCGTTGCTGTACGTTGGTGGATGTAAAACTCAGAATGTGTGCTTTGCCGTAGGTCATCTAATGTTATACTCCGCCGAGGCAGCCTATCTTGGATGCGCTTGGTTGGAGACGACCTCTGTACATTCTATTAATCTCGATCTCATATATACACCATATTATACAAACACATCATCAACCCCCCTTACCCATCCTCACAGCGCACCCCCCGCAATCTTAACCATCCACATAGCAACCCTAACTCTAACCCCCACCCTCCTCTCCACATGCTCAAAATCCCCCTTCCCGACCTCCTCCGCGAACTCCCTCAACCCCCTCTCCTCCTCCCCCAACCTCCTCATCAACCCCTCATTCCTCGTCACCACAAGCACATTCGCCTCAAGATCCAAATTATAACTCCGCTGCGTATAATTACTACTCCCCACCAAACTCATACTCGGCCTGCCTTCCTCCCCAGGCATACAAACCCACAGCCCCTTCGCGTGGTACGTCCACCCCCCCGGCTCCCCGACGCGTCCATTCCGCCACTCGAGGAGCTTGATTGCGCCGCCCCGACCGGCGCGCGCAGCTGCCTCCATGAAACGCCGCGCATAGAGGGTGTATGCGCCTGGGAGGAGCCCAGCGGGGCCAGAGGCGCCGAAAAATCCGTTCGCGTGCTGCGAGGCGGTGATGACGGTTCCGCGGGAGGCGGAGGAGATGAGAAGCTTCGTCAGCGAGGGGTCGGGGTTGAAGTAGCCGGCGGTGAAGGTCCAGCTGCTTGTAGCGAAGGCGGGGGCGGCGAGGGCGCGCAGGATGGAGGTTACGGCGGGTAGCTCGGTGCTGGTTTCTGGTTTTAGGAGCTGGGTTAGTTGGGCGAGGGGGTAGATGGTTGTGTCGGTGTCGGGGAGGTGGGAGAGGGGGCGGGAGACTGGTTTGATGAGGGGGGCGAGGCGGGCGGTGGAGGCGGAGATGTAGTCGCTGGAGCTGGTGAGGGGGGAGGGGGCGTCGTTGGAGGTGGGCCAGACGAGGGTGTAGCCTGCGGGGGTGGAGGGGGAGGGGACGACGAGGAAGGAGAGGGATGAGACGCCTGAGTGGAGTTTGTGGAAGTAGGAGGTTATTTCGGAGGAGGAGAAGACGTGGTAGCGGTCTTGTCGGTTTGTGAAGTAATCGTTGCTGAGGTTGGCACTATGGTTTATTAGCTCTGTAATATCTTGAAAGAACGGACGCAGTTAGGACGAATAGCATACCCAGACATGATAATCTCATCATCCATCCCATATAACTTCATATGCTGCAAGCCCCACCCCTCGTTGATCCGCCTCGGCACATATTTCTTGCGCAGTCCCGTCAGGTTCGGTGTATGGTACATGCGGATCTCTACTCTCTCCGGCCCAAATTCTTCGATCAAGGGGGCGAGCAGAGACGCCGAGCAAGTTGAAGGCGTTTCTCGTGTCCCGCGAAGGGCGTCGGTGAGGACACTAAGCTTCAATTCTGGCTTTGCGCGAAGGGCTTCGGCGAGGACGGATATCTAATGCTTACCGGTCAACAATGCACAATCGTAGAGCTGTGTTTTAGGAATACTGACTAATTCATGTTCAGTCTTGCCTATATACAACGTCGAAAGAAAGATGTGCTTCTCCGCCTTTCGTATTTTATCCTACCCAACATCGTCAGCACTAATCCATCCCCCCAATACAAGAGTCTAGTCCAGGCAAGCCACCCACCTTCAACGTCTCATAAAACTCGCTCGGCGTCTGCAAAACCTTCACCTGGTCCCCTCTAATATCAAACCGCGGCGCAATCTTATCCAACTCCTCCGTAAACGCCGTAAGCATCGGGGCACCCTGCCCAGCAGTGCTCTGTACGCCTCCCCCAGGCACACTCGACGAGGCTGTCGAGTACCTCCTCCCCTTCGCAGCGCGCAGCCACTGCCTACTCACAATCCGTCGCGGAGCAGCACATCTCAGCAAACTCCTCGCAAGCATATCCGTAACCCTTCGAACGTGGGTGCTTTACAACAAAGAATAGAAATAATAAAAATAACCGCGGTTGGGAGTTAGTGAGGCTCAATATCAGCCTTACACCCAAGCTGATAATATTTCAGTCCATTACTGGACCGAAAAGTGCTGCGACGCGCTAGTACGTTTCGGGCGCTTAGTCGCCAATCCGCAGACGGGCGATTGAGACGACGTCAAAGACGCAGAAGAGGTGTATTGAACAGTGCCATTGCGACAACGTCAATATGTCTACCGTGCTCAGAACACTGCGGAACCTCCGCCGAGCAGGCATCAAGGTATGTCCATCCCGCACTGTCGCGTTGTAGCGTCGCTAATGGTGGTTTCACAGGATGCCCTCCATCAAATGCAGGTATGTCGAGCGAGCAGCACCCCACCACTTTTCAACCGGCTGTCTGGAGGCAATGGCTTCTAGGAGGGATTGGATGGGTTGGAAGGGATAGATAGGAAGGGACTAACACCTACTTGTAGCACATCGGCGACACCAAAGCCGGGACGCTAATCGGCATTGACAACTTCGGCAACAAATTCTTCGAGAACATGGAGGAAGAGCTGCCACTCCGCACCCGCTGGGTCGACTACAAGCAATACGAGTGGGATCCGTACGCCCCCCTTCTCCCTTCCCCCCTCTCCAACTTCCCCCTTCCCCAATTCCCGGAGACACGCGCTTACACCCCCCACAGGTCCCAAATCGAGCCCGGATGGCACGCCTGGATCTCCTACGCGGTCGACAAGCCACCGACCCAGGACAAGATCCTGCAGACGATGCAGCGTCCATGGGAGCTGCGCGAGCACCGCATGAACCCCACCCAGTCGAGGGGCGCGTATAAGCCGTATAACACTGTTATCCCGAAGATATCGGCGTGGGAGCCGAAGGTTGTTGCGCGCTAGATTGTAGGTGGGAAAGATGTGGGCGGTGAGGGGGAGATGTATATATTGAGATAGATTGGAGTGGAATGGAATGATGGAAGTTAATGAGGTGTGCTGAATTTGCATGTGATGTGAAATTTGTGCCGGGTTGTCTTAAGAGGGTGCTGAATTGCACCCGGATTGGATGGAGCAGACTGGGGGAGAAGACTATGGACTGATGAGACTTGGGTTACAGGTGGGAAATACACTCGCATTGTGCTGGTATGTTGTCTAAGATGGTGCGGGTTTGCATCGGATTGGACGGGGTAGACTGGGGGGATTGGGATTATGGTCAGACGAAGCACACCTGCACTTGACTTACTCGAAAAGCAGGAGAATATTCGGAATGGACACTGTCTTGTAGGAATGATAAGACGCAAACAGAGGTCCCATTCTTCTTCCCCGACAAAGGCCACCAAGCAAAAGCGGCTCCTGGATATTTAGAAAGAAGAGACACGTATCCTACGTTTTAGCCTGCATCTTCCTCTATCATAATTCAATTGCGGGAATATAGGCATATTATAAACAATTACCCCCCAGAAGAACCATCCCAGCAGATCTCAAAGCAGCTTTTCTTAACGCATGCATGCGAACAGGTCATGCAAGCAGCACTCGATGGGCATATAGGATACATACGACATTGTTCAGAAGCCGTCCCATTTATTATATACCCCAAAGGAGTCCTATATCGCGCCATTCCCTTTTCGCCGCCTTGCTGCCAATCCCCCAAAAAAAGCGGAAATATAGCCAATTCAGCCCAGCCGGTATTTCCAATCTTCACCTATCTACACACTTCCTCTCCCACCATATCTACCACCACTCCTTCGAGTTTCCTCAAAAATCCAGGGATTCACTACCTTATTTCTCTCTTTCTTTCTTTCGTTCTCACCACTTACTCCTCCGCATCACTATCAACATCCACCAACCTTCCCTTCTCCCACGCCATCTTCGCCGTCTTCACAAGCGCCTCCAACTCCCCACTCGTCTCACACATCCCCCTAAACACCGCCCCCTCGCCCCTCTTCTTCAGCAACTGATGCGGGTGATCAAACTCCACCACGCGCCCCTTATCCAGCACCAACACCTTATCATAATCTACAATCGTCTGCAAGCGATGCGCAATCGTGATGATCGTGCTCATCAACTCCCTAATCGTCTCCTGGATCTTCGCATCGGTCGCATAGTCGATACTAGCCGTCGCCTCGTCCATCATCAGCACGCGCGGGTTCTTGAGGAGCGCGCGCGCGAGACAGAGGAGTTGCCGTTGGCCCTGGGATAGGTTGTTGCCGGATTCGGCGACGGGGGAGGAGAGGTTGAGGAAGATGTTTTTGTTAGTCGCTGGGGTAGAAGCGCCAGATGCGCCGGAGGCGAGGACGGTGGAGGTGGTGGGGAGTGCGGTGCTGGTGTTTGCGCGGCTGGTGCCGGGGGTTACGGGGCGGGATGTCGATGGTGTCTGCGCGGCGGTGTCGTTGCCGATCAGCTGGACGCGGTTGAGGGCTGTGAAGATGTCTTCGTCGGTGAAGAGGTTGAAGGGGTCGAGGTTGCTGCGGATGGTGCCGGTGAAGAGGGTTGGGTCTTGAGGGACGATGGTGATGGACTCGCGGAGGTCGCGGAGGCCGATGAGACCGATGTCGATACCGTCGATTAGGATATTGCCTTCCTCTGCTTCGAGGCCGCGGAAAAGAGCGAGGGCTAGTGAACTCTTGCCGGCTCCGGTGCGGCCGACGATGCCGACCTTCTCCAGTGGATTGATTTTGACGGTGACATTGCGGAGAACTGGATCCAGATCGGCTCTGTAGCGAGTTGTGTAGTTGATGAACTCGACCGATCCCTGGCTGGGCCAATTCACCGCAGGTTGTGTCTTCTCGTTCTCGGCCTGGGCCTCTTGCTCGACGTCGAGGTATTCTTTGATTCGCTCCACCGAGTTCATGTTCTGCTCATAAATGGCATACAGTCTCACGAGCCACAGCACGTTCTCGGTGAAAGTAATGGCGTATCCGAGAGAGAGGCCTGCGGACCCGGCATCGATGCTGCCGATGCTGAAGATGACGAACATTCCGGCGAATAAAGCAACCAGATCTCCAACAACATCGATACGGAAGGAGAGCCATCTGTTAGCTGCCCAGAGGTAGATGAATGGGCGGTTGTAGGTGTCGACGCGAACAGCATTGTCGCGAATAAAGCGCTTCTCATCACCGTAGGCACGAATAGTAGTGATACCCGTTAGAGTCTCGCCAAACTGCTGGAATAGTGGGCTTCTTTGCACAGACTCCAATCTCTTCAAATCTCTCGATGACCTGAGGTAGAATCGTCCAATCAGGAAGTAGATGACGCTGATGAAAGCCGCAGCAATGAGGAAACCGGGAGTGATTGCGCTGATAAGGGTAATAGTAACCACAATCGCTAGTGCACAACTGGCAACGCCGATAGCGACAGGTGCAATTTGCTGATCGATAGACTCAAGATCCTTGGAGAAGCGGTTCATGATCTGTCCAAGAGGCGTGACGTCGAAGAACTTGAACTGCGCGCGGGTGACGGAGTGGATAAGATCCTGATGGATACTCCACGAAGCCGTGAGCGATCCGTAAAAGAGCCAAAGATCCCTGAAGAGAGCCACAAACATCCCACCAAGCCCAATTGCAGCATACACTATGAGGTAGTACTTGACATCCACATCGGGAGCAATGAGGGCCTTGAGCGACCACTCATCACTAAAGTACGGAATGAACCTAGCGAGCCCCTGGGTATTTGACAGTGCGTTCGAGGCGGCCGGGTTAGCAAAGAATCCAGTCGTAGACACGAATTGCTTCCCGGCTTCTTCTGGTAGGTCATATTGGTTGGCCCACTCCCTGATCCAGACATTGCTCGAAACCGCGGCCAGCTGCTGCACGCCGAAGACAATGACTGCAAGAACCCAGAACCACCAAGGGCCCATAGCCTTTAAGTAAATAACCGTGGTTTCGAATTTGACGCTGCCCACGGCCTTGGACTCTTCCATTGCATCTTGTGGCTTGTTGACTTTCTTCGGGGGCTTTGCTGCATCTGTCGTGCCGTCCTCGTTCGCTTCGGCAGGAGAATCAATCAACGTCTGATCACTCTGTTCACCGACAGACGATGGCACACGAGACGGGATCTGGGAAACCAGGCCAGCACTGCTCAACTGCAGAGGCAAGTCCTCGCCCAGCTTTCCAGATGAGATAACGCGGAGAGGGTTCCCCTGAACAGATATTCTTCCGTTATCAAGAACGACAACGTGCTCAGCGGAGGGAACACACAGTGCGAGGTTGTGGGAAACCAGGATACAAGTTCGGTTTCTCATAAGAGGGCCGGCGATGCAGTTATCGAAGATCCATTTGGCAGTGTGAGAGTCGACAGCGCTCAAGCAGTCGTCAAGGAGTAGATGTCTGGAGTTCGAGTATAGAGCTCTAGCAAGGGAAATGCGTTGTTTCTGTCCGCCTGAGAGGGTGATGCCCTTCTCGCCAACAAGGGTCTGGTCGCCGTTATCCAAAATATCGAGATCGCGCTCCAGTGCGCAAGCGATGATAACATCTCTGTATCTCTTCTCATCAAGTTCCTGTGCGAATAGAATGTTCTGCTTGATATTCGCATTAACGAGCCAAGCTTGCTGCGCACAGTACGCGACGCTCTCGGTGAGACCAGTATCGGGGTCGGGACGAACATCTTCACGGCTGTAGCCTCCAGGAAGATGCACCTCACCGCTGATCCTGGACATCTCGCCAAGAAGAGCCATGATCAACGAGGTCTTTCCAGAGCCGGTTGGACCAGCGATGATATTAAGCTTGCCAACAGCGAATCTGATGTCCAGGTCCATCAATCGGAAAGCGGGGGTTCCACCTTCGGCAACCACTTCGTCTTTGCTAGCCCAGGAAAAGCATCCGTTGTCGAATCCAATGATCTCGTTTCCATTCTCATCAACGTTATCATGTGCAAGCTGATCGTACTTCTCAGTCTCATCCTCGTTAAGGAACTCTTCCACACGGGTGATAGAAACGCTGGATTCGTTGACGTGGGCAATCATGTCACCAAGCTGGTCGAGAGGCACTCTCAGAATGTTGAAGAGCGAGATAGCCGTAAATGCAACGGAAGGGTAAAGTGGCTTCTTCTCAACCATTGTGTAGACGAGGAACGAGAAGAAGGTGATTGCCACAGGCACAGTATTCCAAACCGCCACGGCAAAAGACCAGATGATAAATCTACCGCGCAGTTGCTTGAGCTCGGCCTTCCTCTTCTCGCTGATGAGGTTGCTGAAGCGATGCTCCCAAGCAAAAAACTTGATGACGCGGATATTTTGCAGGATCTCGTTGGTGGTGTGGATTCGTTTATCTGTTGCCGCCATAATCTTCTTCTGCGCTCTTCCGAAGGCAAATGCAAATCCAATGTTGACGGGAAGTAGGAAGAGCATGACGATGAGTCCTGGGATTGAGCTCCAGCCCAGGACTTGGTAGAGAAGAATGACACTGACGACCAGTTGGGTTGGCCCAGAGGAGAGCAGGAAGTGAAGGTAACTGCTAATCTCAGCCACCTTGAAGGAATCAACGGACATCAAGTTAATGATGGTTCCAACGTTAACTTGAGCGTCACTATCACTCTTGGCAGCACCGCCCACCAACGCCTCTGGGGCTTGCGTAGCAGACTTGTTATCCGGTTCCTTCTTCTTGGCAAAACCAAAGAGTCTGCTTAGTCGGCTGGGCTTCTCGGCGTCTTCCTGGCCTTGCTTCTCTCCCAGAACCGTATCGCTGCTTGCCGCTGCCTTACGACGGAGGGCCTTGGCATAGAGCTCGCCGATGATAATGGCGCGAAGCTGAATGCACACCCTTCTCCCGATCCATAGAGCTTGTTGGTCGAGTAAAGATCTGATTATGTCGGTGAAGGCGAGAAGGATAACATACAGCCAAATGACGTTCCTCGGCGTCTCACCTGGCTCTTCAATGTACTCCAGGATGGATTTCAACAGCAGGGTTGGAGCAAAGGTGAACCAAGCGGAGAAGAATGCGTAGGCGCATTGTGCAAGCAGCTTGCCACGGAAGAAACGAAGGAGGTGCCACATAAGCTTCATGGTCTTGGGTAGCTGGCGATAGCGCTCCAAAACGGCCGCAGTTTTATCCTTTGGCGTCAGGTTCCACACATCAGTTATCTCCAGCGTCTTGATGTAGCCCGTATATACAATAGAATCCACCCATGAAAATGTGGCGAGGGAGAATAAACTGGCCAATGGCTCTCGGGAAGGCTCAATGTCGCCATCCCATTCCATAATAACTGCCTTGTTACCCTTCCGTGTTGTGAGGGCGATGCCGAATAGTAGAGTCGTGAGGGAGAATTCCAAGATAACGAGAACCTGGGTCAATGTAGTGCGAGGGTGGATCAGCACCGAGCGGAAGATGATAATCTCGAGGATCCACATCGTCGTGTACAGAACCGCAGTATGATCCCAAAGCCTCGGTATCCTATATTTCGTATCCGAA